AATGGAAGAGCGGGAAAAAATTAGGTTACCAGATACCCAAAGGGAGTGCTGGTCTCATTAGTCTTTGCAAATGTTTTATCTTTATCTGTTTAAAGGACGAGAAGGAGGTGCGCTGACACATGCATATACTTTTATATTTTTTCTTGTGCTGCAGCACCAGTGACAGTATTGAGATACTCGCTAAGTAATAGGTAAATAATGACACCCACAACGCATCGCTTTCCCCCCTCTCATACCTGTGTGCATTCAAAGTGCAGATGTAAATAAAGTTCACTGTACTTAATAGCATCTAGCCAGCGCTACAGACGAAGAGTGCACAGAAATGGACTAGTACTTTTTTTTTTTTTTTTTGTGGTTGGTAATTTTAAATGCAGCTCCACAAACATCAAACAAACAAACTGTTTCTGTGAAATCTTTCACAAAATGTGTCTGCTACATGAATAAACAGTTAGTGCATTTCCCAGGGAGGGAAAAAAACCTAAATGCATTATGGAAAAAGATGTAAGAAAGAGAGAGGGCAGATGAAATTTAAATCTTATATGTAATGTCCTAATTTATTTTAGAGTTTTAAATCAACAAACTGTGAGTATACCAATTCTGTTTTATTCCCAGTTTTCATGAAACTACTGTGCAGTTTAGTCTAGTCTAAACTGGTTAGTTTGTTGTGAACATTACAGTGATGTTGCACTGCTGTAGAGTGGCTGTGGTGCTCATGGTTAAAGTTAGTTAACATCAAGGGTAGCAGACATCTATTCTAATTTATGCTGATGTTGCTGATTAAATTCACTTGCTCAATACAAGCTTTATTAGGTTTAGAAAAATCAGCTATCGAGTCATTTGCTTATATCTTACTGAATTTAGCTGACTAAATCTCCCAAGAGCAGTGATTTTCTGAGAAGCAGTGCTGGTCACAGCCTGCACACAAAGAAATCCCTTCTGTCGCTCACAAAACAAGTTACTGTGTGAAGCATTTCTAAGCGATACTTTCCCCCACATTACACTACTACGCTCCATCTTAGGGTTCTCCCCCCTGCCAAATCCCACTTTGACCCCTGCATGGACCACACCAGCATTAAGCTACGGTAACATTAGATTATATAATATATATATTCTGTAAAATCTACTCAGACAGAAGCCCTCTTCAGAGATGTTATATGACTTGCCCCATAAACACACAAGGGTGTGTGTATGTGTGCGTGTGTGTTATAGGGGCAAATGCAAACTTCAATCTTGTGCCACACTGAAAGTGACACATGAGTATTGTTAGATATGAGTAAGTAGTAATGAGAGTGCTTATTTAGACATGAAACTGATATGATCACATGTCCTCAGATTAATGGAAAGGAGTGTTTGTAGAGGAGGTGTATTCAAGAACATGCATTCCCACGATGACGCACACAGACTCAGAATCTAAAAACAGTACCTGTTTTGCTGCTGCTATCACACTGTGACTAAAGTGACAGAGAAGTAAACAGTCATGTAAGCTGAGGAGTCTTTGTGACTACAGCTCTTTTAATACTTTAACCAACAATAAATCCTCTTTTGTGACTTCACACATAATATGATGAAGAGCTGACATTTTGTATTTAAAAAAAAAAAAAAATTGAAATGTCAAATCTCGGCAGACCTGCAAGTAAACTGTACCTTCAGAGGCTGGTGGAGGTGTAAAACTGCAGGAGGTGCTTTTAAACGCTGTAGTGTTCTTAATTTGTGTTCCTCCACTTATTGAATTTGTTATCCACATCTGTAATAAGGCGATATCTGCACTCTGTGTTTAACTGATTGATTATGAAATTTGAATTTCAGATACTCTGAGCTGTTTTGTGAAATTTTGTGTATTGGAAAAAGAGTTAAGTTTTCATGAAAATAAAGACTAGCGTTAATGGATCCATTGTGCTGTTGGGCTTTAAGTCAGCTTTAATGTGTGATCTCTAAATGTCCGGTCAACTTTTTAATATTCATCAAAGGCTGATCTCTGCAGCAGAACGTCTATAACACCCACCTATATAATCAAACCACTTCAGACAGTAAATCAATTACCATCAAGGGCCCTATGAATTTCTTTTTTTTTTTTTCCACAAGCGCATTAACCACTTTATTTTCTACTGAAAAAGGTGATGAAGAGTTGGCCAGGCCAGGCAGATGAAAGGCAATGGAAGACTATCAATACACAGAAATACAATGGAAAATTACAGGTGCTAAGCAAGCATGGGAAGAAAACTTATACACGAGATACAGACGCTATGTGAACAGTGCAGCTTGGGTTACGTGACTAAATCAACAGTGCCTGCTGTTTTCATTAGGTCGTGGTCATAGACTCCATATAGAGATCTCCTTGTGCTACCGTCAACCTAAAGCGCGCACACACAATAAAAACAGATAACTGGGACAAACACAGAAAAGACTAGAAGGAAGGTGTGGGAAAGAAGATGAGTTAGGACATCCTGCTAACCATGAGAAAAACAAACAAACCCCAAAACAGTTATCACAACTTTTAAAATGTGGAAAATTGTAACAAATTCCAGATTTCATGTGTTTTACACTAAGGAAATTCTGGATTAGCACGCAGCTGATGTGTGAAAGCTTTTTTTTTTCCATATAGACAATAGAGAGGTGGGAATCAGCAGACGGCCCACAATATGGTATTTTCACAATACTTCACTCATGATGCGATATTGTTACGATTTTTAACATTTTGCAACATGCTGTGCAATAACAAATCAGAGTTTATCACCTTATGATGCAATCTGTTTCTCATAAAACAACAGTTAAGTGTGATAAAGACAAGAACTCACATTTAAATTCACACTTGCTATAAGGCGACCCTGCAGTCCCTCTTGTTCACAAAATTCACAGAGTACTTGAATTTATGTAATAAAGCATTAATATTTGGGTCTCTATATCGATAAAATATCAGTATGCAAAGTAGCACTATACTATGCTATATCAATTTTTGAGAATTATTACACTGAACAAAAAAGAAGATGCGGACAGAACACAAAGAAATCAAAGAGGAGAGTTCGCAGAAGAGACATTAAGGAGAAAGAGATCCATGCTGGTGCAAACCACAGGATCCCTCTGTGGAAGCAAACAATGGCTGCAAACCGATACTTTTAACTGTGATGACGAGGCATGTGATGCACTCGCAGTGTGCAGATGCCCCCGTGACTTATGTGGTGAACCAATATCCATGGTTTGAAGGCAGCATGTTACAGCTAACAGCAACACTGTATTAATAATAATACATGAGGAGGCATTTGTAGAGTTTTGTTGACTGCCAAATTGGGGAGTCTGCACATCTTTGCGCCTCATCTTCAGCATGAGAATATATGAATGTCAAAGTTTCTGAAGGACAATACCAGCATTATGGGAATAATCTAAAATGCATCACGCAGATAATCTTGTAGTTTCCTAGTGAGGACACTTGGTACATGCTCTCTCTGCTTTAGTATACAAAAACTGGTCTAAAATGACCCCACTTTGTCTCCATTAAAACATAATGACTGTGACAGTAAAAAAGCCATTTTTCATTCGGACAAAGGACCAACATTATATTAGAGATATTAGAGAAATTTAAAACATAAAGGGCAAACTGTACATGCAATCTATATTCTTCAAAAAAAATATGCTGTGGGTGCATGTGTTTGTTTCAGGCTTAAAATCAATAATGCTGCAGGCCAGATGTTTATGCTGATGAAAATCAATACCCCTTTTTCCTACAGCTTTGATGTCAGCTGGGAGGATGTATGCTACAAAGTGTGACAGCAGTCAATGTATGCATAATTACTAAAAACATGTGAGGGCATTGCTGATCAAACAAGTGTGTGCTTTCTGAAGAGACAGACTTGGGCTTGAATTCCATCATGACTGTAAAGTAGATGACAAGAAATTTAGCAGTTAATTCGAAAAGCGTTAGGATGCTTTGAAGTAATGATGGGCAGAGGTTCAACAATCTGCAAAAGAAAAGTGCATTTACAAATTGTGGAACGATTTCAGAATAATGTTCCTCAACACAAAATATCAAAGACTTTGGGTATCTTATCATTTACGGTTTATAATATAAAGGCTGAAAGTCAGTATTGGATGCCTGTGATCTCTAGCACTGCGTTAACAACAGGCATGATTCTGTCATGGAAAGTGCATGGACTCAGTGCCATTCACAAATGCAGGTTAAAGCTCTATCAGACAAAGAAGATGCCATACGTGGACATGAAAGCGAGCATAAATGCTGCCATCTTTGCTAAGTAACATCTCAATTACAATGAACTATGGTAAACTGACTAAAGATGGCTAAAAGATGGACGCCGCACACTCTGGACTAAAGAGGAGAGGGACAGTCGGGCTTGTTATCAGCCCTACAGTTTTGGCAGATTACACATCTGGAAAAGAACCATGAATACAGGTATACATACAGGTTTTAGAGCAACATATGTTTCCACCAGGATGATGTCATGACACTATACTAAACTGCATCCTGCGTCTATTACAACATCTGGATGCTCCACTGGCCTAAGTGTAGTCCAGACTTTCACCGACTGAAAACACTGGGAGCATTGCAAAAAGAAAAACATCACAAGAAAGATTCAGGACTGTTGAGCAGCCAGAATCTTATATTAGACAAGATAGAGACAGTCCTTTTCTTCTACCAGTCCAGCAGCTGCTCTCCTCAGTTCCCAGATGTTTACAGACAGTTGTTAAAAGAACAGCAGATGCTACACAGTGGAAACCACGGCCCTGCCCCAACTTTTTTGAGACATCAAAGTCAAAAAGAGACAATATTTTTCTTAGAATGGTGCATTTGATGTGTTCTATTATAAGTAAAATAACTGCATTCAGTTTATATTTATGTTTTACACAGTGTCCCCACTGTTATGGAATTGGGGTTACACGTTACATTATTCCCAACTGGAATACAACAGACTGACTGCACTGTAACATGAAAAGTGTGCCGCGTGTTTAACTATGTGCTTCTTCCTTCACCATTTCCACCACACACTTACCCGCGGCGCACTGCTCCTCGTCTGCCCCGTTCTCGCAGTCCCTTTCTCCGTCGCATCGCCATGACAATGAAACACATTTGCTGGCAGCCCCTCCGCAATCAAACTTCTCCGGAGGACAGGTCTGTCGGCCTGTGGTTGCAGGGCAAGGGTGAAAGGCAGCAAAGGAGAAAAGGCGGAGGGTGGGGGGTGGGAAGAAGAGGAATGAGTGGAAGAAAATTGGCGTAAAAAGGGGGGAGAGAATGAAGTCAGGGAGAGTAAGATGGGACAAGAAAGGGAAGGAGGCAAAAAGATGGAGAGAGAAAAAAGAGCCAGTCAATGAAGCAGTTTGATAACTTAGTTATCTTCTCTCTCAAATCGATCCCTCTTCAAAGGTCTGCAATTAAATTAGACACACAGCTACAGTGGAACAAAGGAGTGGGAACACTGTCACGCAAGACACAGAGCTGGGGGAAAAACAATGTAGACAAACAAACAAATGAAGAAACAGAAGGAAGCCAAACAAGAAAAAAGTGCCCAAGTCTGTGTGTGAACAACTGTTTCAACCAGGGCTCGTTTTCCCATGAATATTTAGCCTTAAGCACTAGACAACAATGTGTCAAAATAAATGTTAAAAAGCCCAAAGTCAAGACCCCACAGCTCATTTCCAAATTATTTATAAATGGAGCTACACAACATCTTTCCAAATTCTCCCTCTAATTCACCTCTTAGCTTAAACTCGGACACATATCGCAACAAACTGCAGAGAAAAAGGACACTTGGTGTATAGAATACTATATTGGTTGTTATTTTGAGTGTAAATCAGAGAAAGCAAAAGAAGTGGAAAGCTGCACATCGCAGACAGTGAAACACACTCCTTTATACACTGTGTGCGACTGAGAAAGTAGTCCCTCTAGATAAAAGCCTATTACAGTAGTCAAGGCCATTGTTCCTGCGTGTGTAACCCATGAGGTTGCTAGAGGGGGGAGGAGGGAAACACACCGTTCTAATACATCACATTTACACAGCCCACAGTCCCTGCAGCAAATCCCTGTGCCTTTTTCCGGCAACCCACTATACACCCTCACCCTGCCTCATTTTCCCCTCACCTCTCTCTTTAATGTCTCTCACTCCCACTCTAACGCCACAGAGACTCGAGCCCCAGATTACATTACAGCACTGTGTCAAACTCAACTCCATCAATTACACACATCTGACCACCAGCATGCTCGCTGGCAACAAGCCTACGTTTGTTGCAGCCGCAGATCAATAGTACCTATGGGATTCACCCATTCCGGCTTCACTCTCCATTTTATTCTTCTCACATTCCTCCTCCTTGTTTTGATTTTTTTTAAACAACACTCTGATATTCAAACACTGCCCCTGGTGGTGGGACGTTGGGACTAGTTTAGCCAAGAGGGACTGCAAGAATCCTCTCCAGCTGTGCACCTTTGGTTGATGTGATCACCTTTGAAGTCATCCACTTGAATTTTCAGTCTTCTCTAAAACTCGGTTTAGGGTTAGACTTGGGCCCTGGTGCCAGGCTGGATCTTTTGGGTGACCACTTTCCTCTCGCCTCCATCTTTCTTCCTCTCGCTGAATATCGAGCTCTTGCGCGAGCATCTTTTCAAACCGTCATCCCCTAAATGAGGTTTCTCCTTTCCTTTAAAGAAATAAAAAGCCCCCTGCAAATCCGCTTTAAAAGACCCAACGAGTAAGCGCCATATCAGCACAGTGTAGCTATTACTGCCAAAAGGGACTGAATGGTCTGCGTGTACAATAAGAGCGCGTGCGGGTGAGTGCACGTGCCCATGTTCTTGTGCCTTTGATGCAAAGAACGCAGCTCTTCTGGATGATGTGAAGGTGTGAATGTGATGTGGGTTATGTGGAGGTGTCCTAACATGTGAATTGTCTCAGCAATCTAAATGTGCGCCTCAGAGATATGGTACTATACAGACAATAGTGTTGCTGGCTTCCACATTATCTAGCTTTTCTAAGAGCGTGTGTGTGTATATTAGTGTGTGTGTATATTAGTGTGTGTGTATATTAGTGTGTGTGTGTGTGGCAGTGTAATACTACTGTGGGAGACTTCCTCAGTTTCATACAAAGCCTAACATGGAAACATCCCCTAAGGACTTCAGTCCACCAAGTGTCTGACTGACAGTTGGCTTAAAAGGATGTAATTTGTCTGACTGACCATTTCTGGCCCCTGCGAGTCAGAATGGTCGACTCACGGATAAACTGCCAATCACGAGGCTGAATACAGATGAGCAAGGGGAAAAAAAAAAAGAGCTAACACTGATTATGACGAAACAAATTAGAGGATTCTCACCCCAAGGGTAATCATTTTCCATAAATACAAAGAAGTACGATTCCTGCCAATGTACAATCAAACAGTAACCTATAACTATTAAAAAGTCAATTCTTCTGCTCTCTATTAGAATTTGATAGACCATAATAACAGTTTCATCCCCACCAATAGCTTCTACATAAGGTCTCTCTATTTGCTGCCTCAGTTACTGTGCAGCCCATTCCCAGACAAAATTGGGTTGTGCAAGCTAAGAAATCTGTTTTTACGCTGCATGCGGAAGCAACAGGAGTTTGTGTGGACTAAGCTGAAGCGGGTAGCACATGGAGCAATTGGCATGATCAACATCGGTCGCAGTGCCTGTACAGGCCAAAATAAGAAAAACAAAAACATGCCTGCTCTATCAAGTCTGCATCTCAGATTGCGTCAACTAAAGGACATGGAAGCACGAGCGTGGAACAAATGATCAGCATGTAATCAAAAGGAAAAAACATCGTATCATGTATTTTTTAATCTAGGATGTATTTTTGTTTTTCCCTTTGCCAGTCCAGATGGTGTTGATAATGAAGTCGCAGTTAAAGTTGCTTTCCCCATCTTTCATAAATTGGTGCTGAGAGCAAATTTGCCCTCTGTCTATCTCTCCTTGTTTCATCTCTCACTAAATGCTGACAAGGTGGACAAAAGTGGTAAAGCAGGCACTAAAGAGAACTGCAGGACTTCCTGAGGGAGAGATACTGCGGACTCTGATCGTGTTACATGCAGAGTGCAATATCTGACTCCTGCTCCCACCTTCTCAGGAAAAAGATGTACACAAGACCATAAAAGCATCCTAATGCAAATAAAGACGCACATGACTCTAAACTACAAATACAGTGTTTGTGGAGACCAAAGCAGCTGTGAATCATCGCCTCAGCTGCCAGTCAAAGGCATGTAAGTGAATTCACCTTTGTACTGAATGAATATTTCAAGAGCTGTGAAACTGCTGTGGCACAGATATAAACACTTGGCCGTTAGCTCCCAGTTACCTTTGCTTATTGCCAAGGCATAGAGCAAATAATAGGCGAGGCACTGATACTAGCCATGCTCCAGTGGAGCTGCTTGGTGATGAGCAGTAAGACACCGAGGGCTCAATACAACAGCTCCCTGGTGGGTGTAGGCATTATCGAATAAGTGTAAAAACGGGTTGGGAAACAAGCATGTACTCTTAGTGAATATAACAGGATACATAGGTGTAAAGGAAACAAACAAGTGCAAATTGGCTGGATGACCAGGTCAGAGCCTTTCCCTCAACTTTCATTTCTGTGACACAAACAAAGCACGCGAGGCTCAACAGATTCAGCCTTGAGCCTCTCTATTCACACCGTAATAGAGAGACTCCGGGTAAGGGGTAATTTTACTTTGAGAGCATGAGCCTGATTTCATTAATATGGCAGTGCTATTAGAGAATAGCAGGTACTATGAGAAAACACAGGAAATTATGATGAGGAAAAAACAATGTACCCGGTTAAATTCCTTAACAGTCTTGTGTGCATAGAATAAGTTAAAAATTCACTGCTTAGTGTTAGCAATACAGCCTGTGAAGGGATGCAGTAGTGAAATGCTGCAAGCCAAACTAAATTTATGAGTGACCTCCGTGGCTTCCTGTGCAGATTGCATTAATAGAAGCTTGCGCTGCAGTGTGAAAGTGAACTAGGACGAGATAGCTGGCTCCAGGAGAAAAAAATTATTTACACAGCAGCTCTAGCTTTGTGAATTTATTGGTAGGAAGCATATTATCACATGAGAAAATATTCAATTCACTAGATGACTGGGATTTTGATGACTGGAAGAAATGCATTCAGTGTCAACTTTATTTTAACTACATAAATTCACTGTATATTTTAAGGGAAAAATGACTTTAATCATTTTTAATGTGTTGGTTTAGTATTTTGTACATTCTGGATATGAAATAGGTTTTTGCTCATCCTGGGGTCAGAAAACTCATTTGGCACACAGAACACGATGCAGTCTTTTAATTCAAACAAGTCCACAACCAGAAGTAGTACACACTTGTTATTCTCCTCACATGGCCCGTCTAAGTGTCTATTATGAGGAGGGTATAGGGGTGGACGGAGCAAGGAGCTGTATGCTAATGAACCTTTGATGAACTACCTTCTTAATTTCCCTTCACAAGGAGGGAGGGATTTGAGCATTGTGGCGCGGCACCACGTCCACTATACAGCTCCATGCTTAGCATCGAGGCGAGCCTCGTAGTTGATTGATGTAGAAGTCCCCAAGCCCCGTAGGCTAATGCTAAGATAATTATTTATTACGAGTTGCGTGTGTGAGGCCAGGTAATAGAAGCCATCCTTAAGTCACTGTCCATCACAATGAGACACAACGTCAAAACAAAAGCCACTTGGGAGAGTATGTGGTAATATGGCACATGATAAATGAGGAGGAACGGAGGCTTGTAGATGATTTACCCTGTATCGACACGAAGCATTGTAGCTGCATGAATTTAAAATGCTTTAAGGTACACCGCAGACGGCACAGCACTGATTGATGAGGTACCCCGTTTTAATGTCTTTTTATGCAAAAAAACACAGAAGAAACATGACATGTCTCACTACATTGGTGGCATATTATGAATGCCCAGATACTCTGCAATGCTTTGAATGTCAATTGAGTCAGCAAGCAAGCAGTACAAGGCAAAAAAAAAAA